CCTCGCTTGGCAAGGTCATTAGCCAGCTGTCGTCGAGACAGGCTGGGTCTCATGTCTCTTACCGTGACTCGAAGCTCACTCGCTTGCTCCAGGATTCGCTGGGCGGAAATGCAATCACTTACATGATTGCTTGTGTGACGCCTGCTGAATTCCATCTTAGTGAGACTCTCAACACTGTTCAATACGCTCAGCGTGCTCGCGCTATTCAGTCGAAGCCCCGCATCCAGCAGGTTGAGGAAGGAGATAAGCAGGCCATCATCGACCGATTGAAGCTAGAGATCGCCTTCCTTCGCGAGCAGATAAGCAGTAATGCAAGCCGTGGCGAGCCCAGTCCTCGCCGTCTGAACTTGAGCACCAACGAACGGTTTGATCGCCAGAGCGAGCGGGAGGCTGAGCTCCAGAACCAGCTGCTCGACACACAGGAAAATTACACTGCGCTCAGCCAGCGACATGCCAAGTTGATTTCTGAAATGGCAAAGGCTCGGGAGAACGAGTCGAGCAACGAGGCACAGGAGTTGGGCGACACCGCGACAGACCGTCTCAACCGATCCAACTCTTTCGCCCAGGCTGTTGAGCAGGTTGTGATGGAATACGAGAAAACTATCCAGTCCCTGGAACACTCCCTATCGAGCACAAGAGGAACACTTTCTACTACCGAAGCCAGTCTGCTGGAGAAGGAGAGCAAGTGTGCGTACGCTGAGACCATCAACACTCAGCTCCAGGCGCGACTTCAGAAGCTCGTGGACCGTGAGGCCAGCACGGAGAACTATCTGCATGATCTCGAGACCAAGCTCGATGGCCATACCAACGGCGAGGAGAAGAATGCAACAATCATCATGCAGCTCCGCAAGGAGATTTCACGGGTTCGCGAGAATGAGGCTTCTTGCGAGGACTACATCTCGACTCTGGAAGAGCGCCTTGCGGAGACTGACCAAGACTCTGAGCTCATGCAACGGGAAATTGATCGCCTGGAGCAGGTCATCGAGCGTCAGCGCAGCTTGGGAAAACTCGATTCTCTTCTCTACGACCTGGACAATGTCGAGGAAGCCAAGCAGCCTGGACCGGAACCCAAGGAACCTGCAGCCAATGGACCTGCCCGCCGGCGAAGTAGCAATGCAGGTCATTCCAGAGCTCAATCGCATGTCAGCCGCCACAGCCAAACTCAGGATCCCATCCCCGAGGATGATGAGGGCGTCGAGAGCGACCCGGCAGCTCAGATTCCTACTGTCAAGGAGGAGGTCGAGGAAACCCCTCGGGTTGAGACGAGCCCTGCCAATGGTGAGTATGATGATGTCCCAAGCTCTGCCCAGAGCAAGTATGTGGCCGACAAGCTGGAGAACGTGACCCAGGAGCTCTTTGATCTCCGCGTGGAACACGAAACCACTGTGAACTCGTTCGACGACCTTCATCTCAAGTACGAGGAAGCTATGCGCAAAGTTGCCGAGCTTCAGGATGTGGTTGATGAGGCGCGCCACAGTAAGCCATCCCGTCCTCGCGATTCAGTTATTTCTGAGGTTGCGGATCGTCCTGATTCTTTCTTGTCGGAGACGAAGACGAACGATTCGAAGCATGGGCTTCGGTCATCAGCTTCGCGATCGCTCTCCTCGGAATTATCATCTGCTATGGACTCGCCTGCTACCGCGGATACATCTAACGGTGACATTTCTTCGGAGGATGAGACTGCCACAACGAAACCAGGTGGTGCTTCGTCGGATGATATGACAGAAGGACCCCTTTCTCCCGCCTTTACTGAGCGGAGCAACCAAGAATTCGAGGCTGAGATTACCCGCTTCAAGACTCTTGTTGCCGAAAGAGAGGCTGCTGAGAAGGAGCTCGCCAGCAAGTACGCCGAGCTCGAGTCTAAGCACAGCGAGACCCTGGATATTGTGGAGGAACTCAAGACTGAGGTGCACAAGGCTCGTGCTATTGAGGCCACTTCTCCCCGAACACCCACCCCTATCATTCGCCGCAAATCAAGCCAGAACCTTCTCGTCGACCGCGCTCAACGCTCATTCTCCTCCCTTCGCAATATCGCCACAGAACACCTCAAGAACAGCCCCGAGGTGTGGCAAAGCTTCGAGCTTAACCTCAACGCAGCTATGCATGAGCTCCATTCGCGCAGTGAACGCATCCAGGAGCTGGAGGCCGATATTGCGTCAACTAAGAAGGAGATGGAGGCCAAGATGACCATCATCTCAGGTCTTACTCGTGAACGCAGCAGTTTGAAGGCAAGCCCTGTCGACATGTCCATGGTGGCAACCCTTCGAGACCAGCTCGAGCAGAGCGAGAACCAGATTGCGTCGCTTAAGGAAGCTCATGCGTCCCGCGAGGGCCATCTGGAGAACGAGTTGGAAGCTCTCCGCAAGGCCATGAGTGGTCCCGGGGCCGATGACACCATCGCCAATGCCACCGCGATCGCACAGCTCGAACACGAGGTCTCCCAGTGGGAGCTCCAGCACAAGGCAGCTCTGGAGACTGCTGCATCCAAGGAACAGGAGTTGATGTCGGCGATCAAGCAGCTGGAGGCACAGGCTGTGTCTGTGCATGCTGAATTGCAACAGGCTCGCTCTGTTCCAGCCGGCCAAGACGAGGCCACCAAGGAGGCAGAGAGGAAGCAGGAGAGCTTGATCAGCTTCCTCCGAAGCGAGATCGACGAGTACAAGGCTATCATCAACAGCAATGCTACCAAGGTTGCTGAGCTCGAGACCTCGCACACCACTGCGGTCTCCGATCTTGATAGACTGAACAAGGTGCACTCCTCCGTTGCTGCTGAGCTGGAGGCCTCTGTCAGGGATCGGGAAGCCGAAGCTGCGGAGGCTAACCGCCTGGAGCAACTTGTCTTGACACTTGAGGAGCAACTCACTGCCCACGAGGAGGCTGCCAGCAGGACTCATCAATCACTCGAGTCTTTGCAAGCTGCTCACCAGCAGGAGTTGGCGGATGTGAAACTACAGGAGCAGAAGGGTTACGAGGAGCAGGTTGCCGTCCTTATGAGCGAGCAAGCTGATACCGTTCGATACCTCGAGGCAGAAGTCGCTGGAACCCGCGAAGAGCTGGTCACACTGGCTCGCCAGGTCGGTACGGCTCTGGGGATGGAACCTGAGCCAGATAACCTCCGTACTTGGATCGATAGCTTGGTGGCTGACCGTGCGGCGCTTGGTAGCGAGCGCAAGAGGGCTGGCGAGATGGAGAAGCACGTGGCCGAACTCTCAACCATCAATGATGGTATCCTGAAAGACCTAGAGGCCGCTAAGAAGTCACTGGCAGACATTGCACCCACCAGCTCGGGTTCCATGACAGCGACGGTTGACGCTTTGAAGGGCAAGCTGGTTGAGATGGACAGCCGCAACGAGAAGAACACGCGAATGATCGAGGAGCTCGAGGAACAGCTCCAGAGCAACTTTGATGAGGCGCAGATCACCAACAACCGCATCAGCACTCTCCAGACCGAGCGTGACTCACAGCTCGAGGAGATCAACAACTCGCGGTTGAGGCTGCAGGCCGAGCTCGAAGCGGTCAGAGAGGAGTACGCCGCTCTGCAGGTAAGTTTTATGAAGACGCAACAGATTTATTGGCACACCACTAACACATGTCTCCGCTCCAGGCCAAATATGAAGAGACCACTAGCGACATCAACCGATCTAGTGTCCAGTCTGCCGTCAGGAAGAGCGCATCCCACACTTCGCTTCCTTCTCCACCTCCAGTTATCCCGCTGCCGCCTCTGCCCAACGGAGCAAGCGCACCGGGCACTCCCAACGTCAACGGCCACCCGCCGGGCTCACCGACATCCACGCGTCCCCCAAGCAAGGACAACTTTGGCGCTCTCAGCGCCAGCCAAGTCAGCCAGCTTGCAGAGGACCAGGAGGCTCGCATCCGCACCATCAAGAAGCATCTCGATGCCGAGCGTCAACTGACACAGACGCTCGAGGAGGCCCTTACCGACTTGGAGAAGCAGTCCAACAAGGTCAAGGCCGACTGCGAAGCCTGGAAGAAGCGTGCCAGCGAGCTCGAGCATGAGGTCAAGGAGCTCAAGGAGAAGCCAGCCCAGGAAGCCCAGGACAACCGCTGGAGCTTGCAGGCTGTCGAGGAGGAGCGCAAGAAGCGCCAGGCAGCCGAGGCCGCTCGCAAGCAGCTCGAGGACCGAATGAATGCCATCAACAAAACGAAGAAGAAGAAGGGCAGCCTGAACTGCTTCTAGGAGGGGCTACGCTGCATCTAGTCGGTCTCGCAAGCATGTTCTGGACCGCCTGTGTGCCTTTTGTTTCATCAGCATCCGCATACCTACTTGCCTTTCCTTCTATTTCCTTGTTCTGATTGCACTGTCATTTCCTCGTCGGCCAGGAGTTTTTGAGCGGGTAAAGCAGTTCATTTTCGGTCACTACGCAACTTCTCGATATATCTAAAAGGCTGCGTGGCATTAATCACCAGTCATCCACTCAGCCACCCTTTCCATCCACCAAATACCTACACCTATATTCTGTTATTGCATGATGAGACCATGCATCTACGCTGATTCCCGTTTCCTTGATAACCTTACCTTACTTTTCTCGACATTTATTTTCTATGCGTTTATTACGTCGTCTCATGGATATTCTCCTTTTACACTATATTTGTTTGCCTCATACCTTCACAACAAGAATATATTAAAATCTTGTTGTTGCCTGTAACGTGTAATTTCTATCGGCGGAAGAGAGAAAGAGGGGGAGAGAAAAGGGGAGGCAGAAGAAGAAGAAGAGGGACGAGAGAGAGCGATGAATCTTACGATTATATCCCGCCACCCTGTGGGCATTGTTGTGACAGATAGATAGTCTTGTATCACTTATTATTGCTACCGAGACCAATACGATCGACGAGCCTTTTTCTGGTTTTCCTTATTTCAGATATTTTTCAAAATAATTTCATCAATCTCTGAACCACCTGGCTTGTGCCTCAGTCTATTTAATATCGTGATGTTTCGAAATACTCCTATCCTGATCTCCGTTTGTGTATGCCAACATGAATCATGCTTCAGAGGTCTCCGTCTGCCGCCTGCGCGATCTTTCCTTCCGCCGCCGCCTCGACTGCTCCTGATCCCGCCGTCTCGGAGGCGGAGGCGGCGGCTCCTCAACGTGCTCCTGCTCCGACGGCAGCACCTCGGGGAACCAGCCGTACTCGCCAAAGTCGATCATGAACTCGCCCATGGCGTCCTCGGTCACCTCGACATCCTCGGCCCGCAGCGCAGCGGCCTGCCGGGCGGCCGACCCGGGGCCTCTTGTCACTTGATTCAGCAACGGGATTTGGAGCTGTTTGGGGGAGGGGCACGTTAACATACCTGTGGGAGATGAGGCCCTTGGCGTTGATGACGCGGTGCCAGGGGACGTTTGCGCTGTGGAAGCGAGAGTCGGAGTCGGCGGCGGGGAGGCCTTTGAGACAGGCGCCGACCTGGCGAGGGCGTTGGGCTGGCGGGGTTTAGTATATAACGGGTATGGAACAGTAAGGGGAACGGGATGAAACTCACGTTCACCGACGAGAAAGGCGATCTGGGCGTAGTTGGTGACTCGGCCGTGGGGGATCTCCTGGACGGCGGTGTAGACGGCGTGGCGGAAGGCTGCGACTAGCTCTGGGTCAGACATGGGGAGATTAAGATTGGTTCTACGGGCTGATATCGAGATGGCTGTTTGTTGGTGTTGAGGTTGAGGTTGATGACAAAACAAGGGCGTGAGTGAATGCATGTAGCCGGTTGACGGGACGCCCCGCTTGATGCATCCCGTTCACAGGTTAAAAGAGGTGTGTCGCTTGGGAGAAGAGAATTAAATATTATCTATCTCTGAGTCGATTGGGGGTCAATCCAATCACTAGCAAATATTCTACATGATGAACTGAATACATGATGAGCAAAGCTTGACATGGATGCATATCATATCCACCTCCAGAAGGGCACGTCCTCCAAGAGAAATGATGTTGGACACGCTACTTGGCCAATTACCCCAAAGACGGACAGTGGTCATCCTCGCTTCGGTACCCTTCGCAGGCCAGCCGTCCATCAACGTTCCTGATGTGCTCGGCTGGAGGTTCCGATTGTCAGCTAAATACGATCTGTGGGAGAGGGGGCAGAGTTCCACCTACGGAGCTTGATGAGGGAGTTATCAGCTCCGCCCTTGATATTGTTGCACATGCAGACCAGACCACCATTGGCCGTATCGAGATTACACTCCCGGCACGAGGTGTGGAAGTTGCCGCTGGATCCCAGGGTCAGCAAGGTCCCAGGGCCAGCGAGGGGGGAAAACCGACTGAGAAAAGGGCCCGATTCCACCTCGGGCCCTTTTGCCGTCGCGGGGTTTACTTACTCCCTTGCCCAGCTCAGCGAGCCCTCTCGGTTGGCGATGCAGTTGTTCAGCTTGATGCTGGCGCAGCGCTCTTTACCGTACTTGTCTTGGCACTTGGCTGCCAGCCTGGGCGTCTTGGCCTTGTCGGCATCGGCCATGTCGAGGCGCATGTCCTTGCAGGATTGCGTAAAGGAGGTGTCTGGCGCCAGGCGGACGGCGAGTGTTTCGTGGCGCAGCTCCAAGGAGGTTTGGGTGCTCACGGAGGTCGTCGTGAGCGCGGGTGTATTGTCGTCGCGGGGGAGGGCAAGGGCCCGGCCTGAGAGCTGGAGCAGGAGGAGGATGGATTTGAGTAGGCTGGCCATCGCGGTCGATGTTTTGAAGTTGATGACTTGGAAGCTGGTGACTTGGAAGTTGTTGAGTGTGATCTGGGTGATGCTGAGTGGCGGCGGGAAGGCAAGATACTTATACACATGCAAGCTTTTCAAATCAGATACGCCATTTCATGATCAATGAGTGATTCTGGGTCGCCTGGTGCTTCGAAGGCATCCAGGGGCGGATGAGAGCCTATCATCTTGCCAACATCTCAGTGATTCTAAGCTGCGTGATGCTTGAGAGGAATCTAACAACAGACGGCAACGCCTCATTTTATTTTGTTCATCTACCCCTGAGGCTTTCATGGATTTGTTGGGCCTCGGAAAAGACGATATTCACAGATCTGTTAACTCTTCTATGTACGTGAATGTAGGATTCTCCTAATATAACTTTGAGTGGTTGCTATCAAGTTCCAAGCAGGTTTCACACTGAAAGTACCTAGTTGAGATGACCTGCTTCGTGATAGTGATTTATATACGGCTGAATCAAATGCAAAAGTCCCAACTTATACAGAACAGGAGCAATACGAACTTGGATAATGTGGAGAGTATGAGGAAATGACTGATACTACATTTTGGTTCAGCATAAGGCGCAACAAATAATGGGCGAGAGGAGGGTAGAGTTCGTTCAACGTCTTCTCGGCTGACACACACATTAAATCACAGCACAAGAGTTGAGCTCGAGTTAGCATATATGTTGCCAATCTATTCTAATGCATATGCCGGGGCTTTTTATCAGCTGAATATGCTATGTATGCCCAATTGTAAGATGCTGGAACCCGGCGTCTTGCCTGGGTTGTTATACACCGCCCACAACAAACAATAGCAATTTGTGCCAGCTTTTGTCTCCTCTAAATAATATGTCAACAAGACGAAGCGCTTCTCTTTGAACAAAGCAGGTGGCCCGGCTTGTTCTTGGCTCTGATCCGGCGACCTGCAGGATAGTAGATCTATCTGCGTGAGTTAAGAAAAGAAAAAATCCAAACAGCTTAGCAGATCTATGTTCAGATATTTTTCGATCCAACTGATAAGGAGCGTAGTTAAGTAGGAATCGCAGATGGCAAGGCTTCGATTTCACCTCGTAAAACGTGCCATATCAAGGTGCCGAGACGCATTTCCAGAGTCCCAAGCTGCTGCTACGCCAGCCGATGGGCGTAATACTTGAAGATGGATCACGTAGATGCCCGCACCGTCAGCCACGCGCTGCCGGTGTGGTCTGCATGAGCCATCGGTGTTCATGATTGAGCCATGGGCAGTTTTCACTCTCCCATCATGGCTCACTTTGGTCGTTTGAAAGGGTGTGCCTCGGTGCTAAATACAAAGTCATCCAGGCTGATCAAGTCTGGAGGCGAGAAGATCAAGTAGAAGTACTTGAGAGTTTCCGACATCCAAAAGCTCTACAATAGAAACGGTTAGCAATGTCAATCAATACTTGTTGGCAGGGTTTCTTCCCACACGTACCTCCATCGAGTCCTCCTTGACGGTTTCGCCCTTGACTCGAACGTTCTTGATCGCCGAATACGCCAGTTTGGTCTCCGTCGACCGCACAATGCTCTGGAACATCTCCCAGGCCATCTCACGCAAGTCATCCTCACCCGTCATACGGTACAGGAGGAAAATGCTCTCAATGGCCTCGGGGCGCAGGATGTAGCGCGGATCGCGGACGCTCTTCCAGCCCTTGCCGATATGCTCGTCGCCCTGCGTGCGCCACGTGTACTCGTCCCACTCGCACTCGTCCAGGGTCTCGCAGGGGAACATGGTGAAGAGCTCGGGCATGAGCCCCGTGGGGAACTGCTGGTACGCCCAGCCGCAGCCCCTGGTCAGGCGCTCGCCTATCGAGACGTGCTCCGAGGCGCCGAAGACCTTGCCCCCCAGCCCGAACATGCCGCCGGCGAAGCAGGAGAGGTGCTGGCCGTCTGGGATGAGCCTGATCTTGTCCTTGCCGAGCCTCGCGTCCCCGACGAAGAGGATGTCCTCGCCGTTGGGGAGCATCGGCCGGAACAGGAGGTGCTTCTTCACCACTTGCATGGATCGGAGGTACATCTTCTTGTAGGTCTCGTCCAACCCGCCCAGGAGGACGTGCATCTTGGGCAGGTACTCGTACAGGGAGTCGGCCTGGCCGCCGATGGAGAAGACGGAGCTCCTCGCCACCTCGTTCTGGAAGTCGACGAACACGGGCCACAGGCCAGGGATGCCGGTATCCTCCTGCATGCGCTCGAGAACCCGCGTCACACGGTCCGTAGCGTCGTAGAACTTTGGATCGCCCATCAGCTGGGACAGCCTCGTGAACTCGAGGCAAAGCGACGCGGGCGACGCGACGGGGTCGTTGACACCGGCGACCTGCCTGCCCTGGCGGGCGTTCTCGAAGTTGAGCCAGAAGCCCGGGAGGCGGTTCGGGGTGTCGAAGGCCACGTAGAGCATCTCGCCGACCTCGACGGCCTTCTGCAGCATCCTCTCCTCGCCGCTGAGCTCGTACGCGCTGATGAGGCCGCCGAGGTGCCTGATGGTCATCTCGAAGAGGTTGACGGCGGTGTCGCGGGTCTTGGAGAAGTCAATGGCGGCGACGGCGTCGCTGGCCTCGCGGAACTCGGCGTCGAGGCCCATGATCAGGAGGGTGTCGAGCGAATCGATCAGAGTGGCGGCCCACCCACCGAAGCTGGTCCTCCCACCGCCCGAGACGGGCCTGAGTTCGTCCCTCAACCAGGCGTGGTCCCGGTAGGCATTGTAGCTTCGCTTGAAGACGCGGAGGACGTCGCCGCGGCGTGGGTCGGGCCGGTCGGGGTTGGTGAAGGCGGAGCGCGGGGCCTGGACAGCGGGCAGCTTGCGAGGCTTGCCCTTGGGGAGGCTCTTGATGACGTCGGGCGGGTAGAACTGTTTGGCGGCGGACCAGTTGTAGCTGCTGGGGACGAAGTCGCCTCGGGGCGGCACCGGGGAGGAGGAGGTGCGGATGAGATGGTGGAACAACACAACCAATAGGGCGACGCCGGTGAGGATGACGAGTCTGGACGCGCGCCTCCGGACAGCAGCCATAATGGCGGATTGCGTGGAGGCTCACTCACAGTGGAGGTGGAGGGTGGCCGGAGGGGGGTCGGGCCCTGTCGCTGCCTATAATGCGAAGGGGATAGCGGGAAGCGGCTGCTGAACTCAAAATAACTGCCAGAATCAGGGACCTGAACCTTCTAGCCCTCTCCACTGCAGCAGGTCGCTCAATTGGACGCTTCAATTGACGTTGTTTGCGGTGCAATGCAATGCAGTGGAAGGGATGAGGACAGGAGCCAGGCGACGGGGAGAGGCCACCTCAGACATCCGACGCTCAGGTCGCGCTGAGTGTCTTGGCGCTCGCCCAGCAGCTGTACCTTACTGTCAGTACATCCAGACCGGCATGGACAAGACGAATGTCCCTGGTGCGATGACTGTACCAGCAGCCCTCCGGCGCTGGATTGGTGGTTTCCCTGTGCTTGTCAGAACGGTGCTCCACCACACCCCCCGCGACCAGCACGGCCGTGGCTGGGGATGGCAGGCCGGTGTGAACGCTAATGAATTGGCCCGTCGCGGGTTATTTTTGTTTGTGGGGCGGGTGAGGCGATCATCATTATGTGTACAGTGTCAGTTGTGCTAGACACGACATCTTGAGGGCTGCAGTTGGTGTTGGTGCTGCCAACATCCCGTGTCCCGTCACATGGCCGGTTGGTGGGAGACGCTCGTGAGCCTTGTGCATATGTATCATCCGTCCATTCATTGCCTCTTGATTGGCATGTACGCCGTTGTTATGACTGCCAAACCCACCATCATCCTCCCGTCGTATGGCGTATTTCCAAGGACATGGCAAGCTTAATTTCGTGTCAATAACCCCCACAAATTGCTGGTCCACGACGGAGAATATACGACTCGCCTGTCGGAGAAAATCAAGAGAAACGTATTACCAAGTTTAAAAAGAAAATAGTTCCGTAAACCAAAGCATCATTTCTATCTAACCCCCAATTGGGTGTTGAACCGGGGTCTAAGTCTAGGGTATAGCATCTCTACCGCTCGCTTCAAATATCAAGCCCAGTCTCGTGCGCCATTTGCGTAATGTGACCAACCAACTTGGTGACAATGTCTGTTTGGATGGGCACCCGGTGATCGCCATCCCACTCTATCAACCGCGTAGTCCCCGTCTTGCAGTAGTTTTTAAGCAGAACCCGGTGCTCCTCCAGGCCCGGGTCCTTCATCCCGTGCACGTGTAGGGTAGGTAGGCTCAGCACATGCTCGCCCTCGTTGGTGGGTGCCCAGTCCTTGAAATCAATGCTCTGCTGCCCGATGTCTGCGACGTGAGGGACGGCCGGCAGCTGCTTCTCCGGGTCCAGGACCACGTAGGGAGCGCGGCCCGCCAGGATGACGCCAAACTTGAAGTTGGTCCGCGGCTTGGGCGACTTCTCCTGCGCCCAGAGCAGGCTGCCCGCGATCTTGGCGCCCTGGGAGAAGCCGAGCACGCCCACGAAGTCGCCCCTGCCCGGATCCTCCCTCATGGCCTTCTCGATGGCCTTGAGGATCTTCTCCTCGCCCTGGGCGTCGAAGGGGTCGTCGTCGTTCCAGCGGAGCCAGCGGTAGAAGGGGCCGAGGTCCGCAAAGTACGGCAGGATGGCTGGGTGGGCGTGGGACGTCCAGGGCCCGTTGACGAAGACGAGCCGGCACCTGTTCTGCAGCTGGCGGATGATGATTCGGCACTGGATCTCGAACACTTCGGCGCTCGTCCCGCCGCCGTGGAGGCAGAGGATGCGCGGTAAGGAGAGGTCGTCCGCCATGGCTGGGGTTGGAGGCAAGGGTTGGGTCGGCTGATGGTGCTTTGGAGGATTTGTTCCAAACCTGCTTCTTTGGCAAGGGTGGCAGGCCGCGCGGGTGCTGAGGAGGGAAAGGCCTGCGCTCTAATGCCGGCGAGGACCGTCCGCGAGAGGTGCGTTTGGGGGGGTTGCTGCTGGATTGGTGGAGGGGAATCGTGGGACGAGATGGATCGCCAGTGAGGGGCATATTTTCGTCACTCGCTCACCGGCCTCTCACCGGGTTGTAGCCGCACGGCGGCCCGTGGTGCTGACATATGTCAACGGTGATATTCATGGTGGATGCCGTAGCACTGCTTGACCCGGGCACTAGCAGGGCCTTGGATGGGTTGTACGCAGAAATTAGACCGAGCATGAGAGCCTCTGGCTGTTGCTGGTGAAGGCTGCATTGATGCTGATATCATGGTGCGATGCAAGAAAACATACACCGGCTTCTTGGCGCTTGGTATACAGTTTGTCTCTGCTGTGTACGGAGTGCTACTGATTGGCCCCCAACCGAGACATTGATGTCTAAATGGACGGAAGGGCTGCATTTTTCTTCTCCCGCCCGCACGGAGACGATGTTACGTATTGATGTACTGATTGTGCTCACATGCAGGCACTGTATGTAAAACACTAAGAAGACCACCGCTGTGCCGCGTGGTGGTCAGAAATGATGCTGACGATTGGGTGTTGCTTTCGATCGCAGACTCGACTCCTTGCATGGGGGGATGGGCGATCCCTCCGTCGAGGCGAGGGAGCTGTCTAACCACCACGCGGCTTGACAGGACCACCGGGCAAGCAGAAAACAGGAAAGATTGGCACACGGCTAGTTGAGTTAGATGGACCCTGAGACGAGACGACCGGGACTTTTCCTGCATTTCGGGCCTAGAGGCTGGTCGGTCACCAGATAGATGCCTGTGTGGGTGCAGACCAGCAAGCCAAGCTGCTGACTCCCAGCTTCCCCCAGCGCTGCCCACTGGCTGGCTTTGCGAGGTCTGTGCGCCTGTGCAGTCCATCTCTCTGTTGGGAAAAATCGTCTCGTCGCGGAGCCCGTCATCTGCTCAAACAGCCCACAGAGCAGATTTGCCACCAGGGGCTTATTTTTAGCTCGCGTCGCTATTTCTAAGGGCCATTAGCAGGGCTGCATCAGAGCCGCGTCGGCGACCCATGATGTCAAATCTTCTGCCATACATACATGCGCCTCTCAGCTGCTGCCGGACGGGAACTATTCTGAGAAATGTCATGACTGACATAGCGATTGGTAGCGCGTATGTCGAGGCACCAACGGAGCTGGCGCTGCTCGAGGGTGCAATGGAGCACAATGATGGTGATGGGGCGGACGGCACTGGAGTCGAGGCACGTTAGCAGCGTCCAGGCCTGTGGCATGCCCTGTCAGTTCTTAAATTACAGCACGCCAGGCCTGTGAACCGCTAGACTGGGAGCCTGCGAGGTGCTGGGGCTCTGTGGCGCAACCGGACGTGGCCTATCAGGAGCCGCCGTTGCGGGCGACACCAGCCACAGTTCACTGCTCCCACTGTGCCAGACGACTTGCAGCCACAGCAATTGACCAAGACTCCACATTAATGAGGACCCACTGCCCAAGGGTCCATGATGACCTTGAACCGTCTGACAACGGCAATGCCCATCACAACAACCCAGCTCACGCCGCTCCATCATGGAGTTTCAGGCGTCGGTGGTAGGATTGTCCCCAGAGACTGCTGGCTCTCTCGGAGTCGCCCATGACCTGGCAGCTATTCGTGCTACCCGCAGGCTCGGGTGGGTCTCCTCGACTAGGTCTGATATTCATATTCATAATCCAGCCCGTCGCTCCCGTCTTATTCTTTCTTCTTCTTCTCCATCATCATTGCGAGTGTTGTTGAGCGACTCTTAACCAGGTTATGGTAAATGCTGCCCACGGTCCTGGAGACTGTTAGATGATTTAAAGGTAGCACTTCTTTTCTTCGGATTCAACTTCGCATAGTCGACGATTCTACAACAACGGATCCTAGCAGCAGGGACTGCTCGACTTTTATTTCTTCTTATTCTTTCTTCCCTTTTTTTATTTAATTAATACTTCGTCTTTGTTGATCAAAGTCGAAAACAGAAAAGAAAAAGATGGCACAGGTATCTTCAGGACGCTTCGAGGCTATGCCTCAGTACAGACAATCACAGAGACACGTCTCGTTCGCACAGGACCCAGCACCTGTGGCGCAAATGGTAAGGCTCACCCCAGAACAGAAAATAGTTTCACCGCTGAGACTTTCTCAGACGAGATCGGTCTCGCCTATCCAGCAGCAGACCTCCAGATTACGAGCATTCGGCCACTCGTCTCTGATGCCCACCGGCTCCTCCAAGACCAAGCCCACCACAACCCGACCCGAGACGTCATTCCCCTTCAAGATGCCAACGGGATGGGGCTCCAAGTCCAAGGCTGCCGAGACCGCCGTCGAGGGTCCTCCTCTCAGACCATCATACCCCCCCTCGGGACGGACGTCGACGAACCCTCGTCCCTACGACATCCAGCAGGGACCCGTGGTTGCCATGTCAAACGAGCGACAGGAATCAGTCAACAACAGGATCAGAAGCCAGCAGAACTCCGCAGTCTCAATCCCCCAAGATTCGAGGAGACAAAACTCAATTGGCGCCACTCCCGGCCCCCTTGAGCCCACCACTAGACAGCCAACCGTCTCTTTCGCTCCTGACCGAAGGAGGCAGCAGTCTACCTTCTCCCTGAACCCTCACCTGGGCAGGCAAACATCGTTCGCCGCCATGAACCCTCAGTTCATCAGACAAACCACGATGCCCATGAGCATGCCCTCGAGGAAGGCCGCACAGAACCCTCCATCACCCAAGAAGGTCGTCAAGGAGAGCCGGCCTGAATCCATCACACCGGAACTGGAGAACTACAAGTTGTACGACAACAAGTGGGACCTCACCTCCCCTACTTACAACTCCATCACTACCAGAGCCTCTACCGGCATCCTGGGATCGACTGCCAGGAGGACTTCAGAGGTCCGCAAGCGTGCCACCACTGCTGCCAACGCCCGCATCCCCCAGCAGCAAGAAGAGGAAGACCCCATCGTTCCCGCCCCTCTTCGCACCAACAGCATCCGCAAGACCAGGATTGCATCTCGCCAGACTGGCTTCTACGGTGCCCCAGAGCAGCCCATGCCTTCTCCCCGTCTCAACAACTTTGAAGACTCGGACTCGGACTCTCTTGGTGAGGACGCCGACTTCACCCCCGCCGTCTACTCGAAGCGCGCCTCAGGGATCAAGGTTATCAGACCTCGCAAGAACACCTTGTCGGGCCGTGTCAAGCCACCCCAGCCATTGCAGCCCAAGCCCAGATCTTTCCATCCCAGCCGGGTCGATACCCTCAACTCTATCGCCGAGGCCACTTCGGCCCTGGAAGAGTTCGAGTTCGACCCTGAGCCCGTGATGCACCGAGACGGAAGCATCTCCATCACATTGGACGACGAGCTTGAGGAGGAGCTCCGACTTGTCCGAACACCATCGCTGCAGTCACAGAACGATTGGCGACAGCGCAGAAACTCGGATGCGTCAGAGGACCCTTCGACTTTTTCCATGCCCTCTACTCCCTCTGACCATGGAGACCATGCCACCTTCCCCGACAACTACGGCCCCGATAGCCGATCCTCCAGCCCATTGTCCTTCCAGGCTGAGGAAGGTCTCGAGCCCGTTGTGGTTGACATGGACCACCTTTCCCCCGTCACACCTCTCATGCTTGTCACCCCCAGGCCATTCGGCGCTGGCGTCGTTGGCCCGGAGGTGCAGGAGGTAGAGGATTTCATGGCACAGAAGTCACCCGACATGGAGCCCACTCTCCCTACACCCCGACCTCTCATGGCCCCCCGAGGCTCGAGGACATCCAAGACCGAGAAGAGAATGCCCATCTTCTTCGAGCAGTCTTCCATCGACACCCTCCGCCGCTCCATTGAGCAGCGAAGCTTCGGTCGACCCACAGGGCGACCCAACCGGGGACGTTCACCCCATGACGAGGACGAGCTCTTCCTCGAAGAAGTGACCCCCGACAACAAGGTCAGAATTGGATCGCAGCATCCCGTCCCGGTTGAGGACCAGTATTACTCGCGCATGTATGGAACCTCCGAACCATCTTCTTGCTTTGACTCTGACTCTGACTCAGAAGTGGAAGTAGGTTTTGAAGAGGGGTCCATTTGCTCCGGCAGCGAGGCCTCTGAGCTGGACTACAGCACCTTTGATTTCCCATGGATGGACACGCCCACTGCCCACGTGGAGGAAGAACGCGGGAGGCCCCTAGTTTCCCGCAAGCCTGTGCCTCCTAGCGTTGAGCAGAGAATGGTAAACGACGCCATGTCAGTGCGATCTATGCAGTCCATGCAATCCATGCAGTCTGAATGCTCCTATGCCGGCACCCCAACCGGCACGGGAGAGAACGCCGGTCGCTTCCCCATCGACAGGCTCGACCACTCTGTCCAGGCTCCTGACTTTGACAACTCGCTCATGGTCAACGGCCATGTCAACCCCCTCTCAGCGCACTCGATCCGGTTCAACGAGGGCGATGCTCCCAAGGTCAACAAGAAGGCCATCTCCCCCATCAACACCCAGAACCTGGCTCACCTCCAGAACGATGTCCCCCACAGCGCTCCCGTTCACTCCAGCCCCCGAGCTCCCACTCCCAGCGACGCTCATCTCGAGGCACTGTTCAGGAGCACGACTCCCACCATCATCTCCCCCAACGTGATCGAGGGTCCTTCACTCAACCTCAAGCAGAGGACCAGACCCTCTGCTCGATGGACTTCTCGCTTCACCCACTTTGGCCAGAAGAACCTGACCCGCAAGGCTAAGCAGGTCACGCCTCCCACCGATACCCTGGAGATTGAATGCTTCAAGGGAGCCAAGCTCCTCCAAGGCTTCTGCAACCAGGGCGTTGTCCCTCAGGGAGCTGAGAAGCTGCCCACTGAGCTCATGGCCGAGCGAATGATCAACATCCCCCAGGAGGTCATCCGCGGAGCCATCGGCTTGATCATCTTCAACACCTTCCGTGGTGGCATCAGCTTGGCTGGTGGATCCGGAACTGGACTCATTGTCGCTCGTCTTCCTGACGGATCATGGAGCCCGCCTTCTGCCATCCACGTGGCGCACTTCGGTGGTGGTCTCTCTGCCAGCGTTGACATGTTGGACTCCATCTGTGTCATCAACAGCGAGGAGGCCCTGGCTGAGTTCATGGGAATGCGTGTGGTCTTGGGCTACAACGTGCCCATCAAGGACGGCCCTTGGGGCCGAGGCGAGACCATCGACCCCAGACTCGCCAGGAGCCACAGGCGAAACGAGTCTATGGAGAGCGACGACAGCATGGGCTACACTCCCTCCTTCGAGCTCAACAATGGCCGCATGACCCTCAAGCTCCACGAGGCCCCCGAGACCGCCCCCATGTACATCTACGTTGCGTCCAAGGGACAGTGCGTTAGCTGCAGCTACGAGGGAAGTGTCTTCACCGAGCGCAAGGACGTCAACCACCGCTACTACGGTGAGGTCATGAGCGCCGAGGGCATCCTCCGCGGATACGTCGAAGTTCCCGAGGGATGCGAGGCCATTGCCGCCCTCCAGTCCGCTCTCTGCGCCGCCGAGTACGAGCCTATGGTGCCCGAGCCCATGGAGCAGAGATACCCCCGATCGCCCGCGAGGATGACCATGAGCTTCCCCGACGACAACTAAATTTTGATGGGCAGATGTGCTTGCCGAGGTGGTGCTTACTCTTCTACGATATATACTTTTTTCCTTTATCTTTTTTCTTTTCTTTTCTTTCTTATCTCACACCTTTCTACGACGAGGAGGGCTTCTTTCCAGATTCTGGCAATTTGGGAGGGAGTACTACAACCAACCACATACCCTCCGAGTCTTAATGACTAACCCTCCTTTGTACGCGGATCATGAAAACGCATGTGTTTCCTTTATATACCCTTGAGGATATTCCGTATTTGATTTCTGGCGAAAGTTTACAAAAGGGGCTACCCCATAGAATGACCTTAGTATTTCGATAGTGTAGTTATGTCAGGGAATGTGTGGGATGATGAATTTACTTTTTGTTCTCAACTTGATGATCCTCGCTGTGATGTGCATAATTGTGTGAATGGGCCGAAAAGTAGATTTGTGTAGGAGTGCTTCCGAGATGATCAGCAGGCAGCAGTGTAATCAATGACTGCTGGTGGGACCACACAGGCAACGTATCACCTACCGAACATCCTCTTGTTGTTTACGCCCACCTAGACATATATCTACGACATCTACACTCGACACTGACTACGCAGCTACGATACCAAATCTACGTCAAAATGGCCCTCCCGCCCCGCGAAAGCACCATCATCGAGCCAACGCCCCCCCACACCCACACCGTAATCTTCCTCCACGGCCGGGGCGACTCGGCGGCCAAGTTCGCCTCGTCGCTCGCGTACTCCCCAACATCAGGAAACCAGACGCTGCCCGAGGCGTTCCCGGGCCTCAGGTGGGTGTTCCCCGCGGCGCCCATCGAGGCGACGGCGCTGAACCCGACGGAGCGGCGGGCGCAGTGGTTCGACGTGTGGAACGTGCGGGACCTGGCGGACCGGGAGGAGCTGCAGGCCGAGGGGCTGAGGGCGAGCGTGGGGAGGGTGCGGGAGGTGGTGAGGGGGGAGGCGGGGAGGGTCGGAGGCTGCGAGAGGGTGGTGGTGATGGGGATAAGCCAGGGCGGCGCGACGGGGGCGCATGTGCTGTTGAGTTTGGGGGAGGGGGAGAGGCTGGGTGCGTTTGTGGGGGTTTCGTGCCGGATGGTGTTTCCTGGGCGGTCGCTGGGGGCTACGAGGGGGATGCTGGGGATGGAGAGGGGGGATGATGATGGGGAGGTGAGCGAGGCGGTGTGGAGGACGCCGGTGATGCTGCAGCACTGCGTTGACGATGCGGTGGTGAGGGTGGAGGATGGGAGGGTGTTGAGGGAGACGCTGGAGCGGTTCGGGGGCGAGGGGAAGAGGGTTGAGTGGAGGGAGTATCCGGACGGGGGGCATTGGTTCAACTCGCCGGTAGGGACTGACGATATCGTTGAGTTTCTGAGCAGAGAGCTCGGGGTGGCTCCGGCCGTGGTTGGCCTGGCGCCGTGATGTGTGTCTGGGTGGAGGAGGCGGGCGATGTCATCATACCTGAGATACGGGACGGGACTCTGGGTCTGAAACATGTGATCTTCAGGCCCAAAACACACCAACTGACGGGCAAGAGGCGTCAAGATGCGCACAGTGTCCATGGGAAACGGAGCTGGTGGGACGTGCTGGAAACTGTGGGCGAAGGAAGACGACAATGGGCGTGAGCAACCAATAGTCAATAGATGCCAGGCCAAGTGTATGCATGTGTTATTAACGATTGGCAAAACTCCACCGACCTGCGCAACTGCAATTTCGAGGTGGCGGCCGTTGCACGAAAATAGATCATGGAACTTGCTCTTGAACTGGATCTAGCGACTTTGCCATGGCTGAGTCTTGGAAGTGGTGGGGAGATGACCATTGGCCGTCATCATGCAAAGCCGTACTATCTACCTAAGCGGTCGACAATTATCGCTGCATTCAGCGAGGCGAAAAGGGGGATGACTTGGGACTAGCAGTGCCTCTACATACAGGTAGAGTTTGACGTGGCTGCTCGAACAATGGGCAGGTCGTAAAGCTTGATGTGATCATGTGCTGGGAGGCCGTTCTATTTTCTGACTGCCGTTGGGGCGGTGGCCAGCTGAGTCAAGAGGCTGTCAGCCAACTTCGAACACGAAGCCGATGGTTGAAGCTTGGTTTCGAGGTTTGTCGCCCATCTACAGCAGCCACCGCCAATTGCCACCAGCAGCAGCGGAGATTGAGAGCACAAACGCAGATCTCCGTCCTGGGCTGGAAGGCAATTAGGCGGGTAGCCGCTGTTTAGGGGGCTGCAATAGGGCGTCGGGGCTGAATGGGAGCGCTGGAGCTAATGGATGCGCCTGGCTGCTAGTGGCCCGGCTAGTGCATGGCCCAGAACCGGCCAGCAGTCGAAGACGGAATATCGCGACAGATACGGTAGTTGCGAGGCTGATTGCGCCCCTTGGCTGGTCCTGGCGTCCATCCAGGGCTGTGTCCTGCAAAACAAGCTTCCGCGGACTGCGCTGCTCCCTTCTGGCGGAACAGTTGCTACGATCTCAAGAGCCCGGATGCGTGTAGGCATCGACTGGAGGTCTGTGTGCCCTGGGATAGGTTCTTGGCCATGCCAATGAGCTTGGAAACAAGCTCGAGCAGAGGCATGGCAATGTGCAGTTTGTCTCGGGCATTCAGCGAGACAAGCCATGCCACTCTCTGAGACCTGGAAGCCATCTTTCCAAGATCCCTAGTCTGGTGTCACACATGGCCTGAGGCGATCAATGAGTAAGTAACTCGGACATGCCTAGACCCGAAGCATCGCATTGATAAGTGCCGTAAGGCTTGGGAGGTGCTGTGGGATGTCGAGTATGGCCTCGGGAGTGTTGTCATCTTTAATTCTATTCCAGTCAGCACCCCTTGCTAACAATACATACCATCATCGAGCTGGCTAGCCCAGCCCGGCATATAGTCGCCGGGGCTAGCTAGTTGATTTGTTGAGTGTAGGAGACACAGAATGTGATATCAGGATGGAGGGGCTCGATGCTGGTCTCTGCAGGCCGCTATGGATGTACGTAGACGCATCCGTCTAGTGAGCGGCAGGTCAACAACAGTGCTAACCAGCTTCAAGGGACACATGGACTCAATTCTCGATGGTCTGACGCAAGTCCGAGGGTTGAGGCCTCCGGCAAGAGAACTCTGTCTGCATGTGCACTGGGGCAGGTACGGAACGGCTACAGGAGGAATGCAGGCGCATCATGCCTTCGGGACTGCGAGTGGGCGGACAAAGCAGATCCCGGCGGTATACAGCCAGGGAACGCTCTCGGAAATGATTGGTTTTTTTTTCTCGACGCTGCCACGCTTTATTCACAAGCTGAAGAAACAGTCTGTGGAATTATCGAATACCTACTGTCTGCTGAGGTCCACCTGTCATCTTCAGTGCCAGCGCGCTATACGAGCACTAGGACACGTTAAGGCGAAGATAAAATCGACAATATTGGTTTTCGTGCGGCTCGATGTACCTGGAACTTGACGACCCAGCCCACCTCCCGACGACACAGCTGAGAGGAACGTGCCGACCTGGCCCAATTGGCAGCCCTTGTCTCAGCCCTTTGGCTTGCTGGCCGCATGTGGCTGCAGACGGCACAGAGAGCATCGCCATCCCTTCTCCGGATTGATCAATGGCCGGTACGTAAGCCCTTACGCACTATCTGCTGCGATGAGGCCATCACGGCTGTCCTCCGCCAGCACCGTACCGAAATTAGGGACCTGCCGTCTTAATCTAATCTCATCTGCCCAATCCTGCCGTATTCAATCCAATACGTTTAATTGGCAAAAGTACCCTCTACTTGTCTTGTTCAATGGAGCGCAAGGCTTTGACCCAGACCGTAAGGCACGCACTATGGCCAATGGCAGCTGCTAGTGCCGTTCAGTGCTTAGTTTGTGCGAATCACGAACTGCAGCGCACTGCCAATGCCATTGAACCCGCTGTGGTAGCAGAGGCTCAGGGTGAGCAGTGCCCCACCGTGTCCAATGTGCGAGCACTGGCAGGCAGGCCAGGTCGCCGGTACGCGGGGCATCTATCTGACAGTGCTCTGATAACAAAGCACACTGTACGCCAGTCTTGGTGCACTTCCCCTGCGCGAGTGAAACCTGCGACACTGTGCCTGCACGGTACTCTGGGCGGCCGTTCCTCGTACTGGTACCCGTGTTCCCGCTGGCTGTGGCTAACCCTCTCGCGTCTACCGCCTTGGGACCCCCACAACAGCACTCGATGGTCCGCTAACCTGCCTGCAATGGCCCATGCCGGCCCTCCCTGCCCCTGAACTGGCCCCGTATCTTAGGGGTACTTGCCTCGCTGCGGTCTGCCTGCCATTGCCTGGAGGTATTTTCTATGCAGGCACCCACTCGCCGTCTCCTATCCAATGTTAGTACTCGTAACGCTTCCTCTCCTTAACCCGACCTGGTCATCAAATTAATTAACACCTATCTGTCTGCTTGCCTCCCTGTCGGGACCAATTCGCTCTTTTTTTTTCTACGACTTCGTATTTATTCTTCCCGCCCACGGGTCCTCCGCTACGCCAAGGAACCCCCCCCCTTCCGACACATCCTTATTCTGCTCTTTTCCTTGGGTGCGAGGCCCTTCCTTGAGGCTATCCCTATTCCTGACATCTGCTTCACTTGTCACGAAAACCTCGTGTTTGATCAGTCCCTTGATCGTGCCACTCGCTTAGCTTAAGCATACTCCACCCTGATTTGCCTGCATCTCGTTCTCACCAACCCCCCTTTGATTCTTCCATCTCTTTCCCACCCCTTCAATCCACCACCTCTCGATCCTGCATGCGTTCGCACTCTCGATCGACTTCGATCGACACCCGCCTCGCTTCGCAGTCCTTCGACACCAGTGCCCGGAGAAATCGACCGCTCCTTGAGGCACAGACGCCGCGAAGCCCCTGGCATCGATCTAGCCCAAGGATAATGGGAGCCAACCTCCCAGGTTCACCACGGGTACCCAAGATGCGAAACTCCTGTACGCGGGCCTTGCTGGCCGCCATATGCCTCCTCATCATCCTCGCCCTCACCCTGCGAAGCGACCGCGCA